AAGAATGACTGAGCAAAAAAGTAAAATTATATGATAAAAACACAAATAATGTCATTCTCTTCTCTAAAACTCTCTATGGCTTTCCATTACACTTAGAATGAAACTTACATTTCATTTCCATAGCCAAAAGTCCCTGCATGATTGAACCTCTGTCTTCATCTACTTTATGTCCTAGCACTCTCCACCTGCCTTTATGTTTCCTGATTATATCTGCTAAGTGAGTTTCCACCTTAAAGCCTTGTTTTTGACATCTTGGAATGCATCCACTATGCCTCTTGTGTGTGTGTGTGTGTGTATGTGTGTGTGTTTTTAATCTTTGTAACTCAAACTTCAGACAATGAAGTATGTCCTCATTAATTCTTCCTTCTGTACAGAATGTTCCGCATTCCTGCTCCCCCATATTAAGTCTGATGTCACTCTCCAGAGGAGCCTTCCCTGACAAACTCATTTGAATAGACACATCACCATGATAAGTTATCACGATCTGCAGTTATCATGTTCACTTATTTGTTTGCTTGTTTTTATCTGTCTCTCTTCATTAGCATGCAAGGTCCATGAGAGCAGGGACTTTGTCCTGTTCACTCCTGTATCTCCAGAGCCTAGAGCAGTGTCTGACACATCATGCAGTCAATAAATAATATCTGTCCTGAAAGATGAGGTTTGCATGTGAAATATTAAGCTCACTGATTCAAAGTTGAGGCTCAACAAACATTAAATTTCTTTTCTTCCCATTGATGAGACTATTCAGTTTAGTCCCTTGATCATCAAATATCACATACATATCATCTTGGATGTCAAGGATATCACCTACTATTATTCAAAAACAGATAGTAAAGGAGTAATAACAGTGTGGGAGGTATTCTCTTTTTATTCCTCCCAATCTACACTCCACTCTGCCACTCTAATGTGTCCCCACAGACACACAGCCTTTTAGGACTTCAAAGGATTCCCTTTTTCTCTGGCTGGGCTTGCTCAATGGGAAGTACCATCAGGAGATCGGGAAGTAGAAGGGCGGGGTTCTCTTGACTGAGTCCCCTTGCAGAACCTTTATGTTCCTGTTGGGCAGCCCTCTCAAAGGGGGCAGGCAGGCAGTGGTCACCATTCCTTCATGCCTGATGATGTTACATCCCCTGGTGCTTTCCCTTAACCCTGCTCACACCTTTGTATATAGCCCTCATTAAAATCTCCTCAATCAGCCCAAATGGTGTGGATCAATGGTTGAGCATTGACCCCATGCATCAAGAGGTTGCTGGTTTGATTTCCGGTCAGGGCACATGCCCAGGTTGTTGGTCAAATACCCGGGGGAGGGGGGGACATGCAGGAGGTGGCCAATTGATGTTCTCTCTCATCAAAGTTTCTAGCTCTCTCTCCCTCTCCCTTTCTCTTTAAAATCAATAAAGAAAATGAATAAATAAGTAAATAAATCTCAATCACTGACAAGTGCCATTCCTCAAAATGGAATACCTATCTGTTTCCTGGTAGACCTCTGACTGATAAAGACAGAATGAGGAAAAGTGGCAGAACTAACGCATGGTCTTCAGCAACACAAAAGCAACAAGGAAAGAAGAGCCATGAAGCGACTAGCATGGACGATGGGCCAACATGTGCAATGTTTTGTCATCTCTTTTTGCGTCTGTGGATCACTAGCTTCTGAGGTTGGGTTCTCTAGAAGCAGATGCTGAGACAGAGTTTAAAGTTCAGGGATCAACCCTTATGAAAGGAATGGGGAGAAACCAGGATTGGGCAGAGGGGAAGTTGAACTGCAACGTAGGTTCCGTAAAGCTTCAGTCAATCCAGTAGGGAACCCTAGAGCGGGGCGTGCCTTTCAGAATGTCCCACATTAGGCTGAACTGACCCTGCCTTTGTACTCCCTTGTTATTTACTCACTGGATTCACTAGATCACCCAGGAAGGGGCAGTCTCTGCAGCTGAGGTAGATAGACCTTGAGGTAACTGCCAGCCAGAGCCTGTCTGCTAACTGCACCCCTTGAAGCTGAGCAGAAAGTCTTACCTTGAAGTAGGGATGTTAAGGGCCATTCTCCAAGTCTTTCATACCAGTTTGAATTTCATTCTCTCCCGGGCCTCATCTCTCACTGTGCACATGTCTATTATGGGAACTGTTTCCAACTGTCTAGTGCCCCCTTTCTGGTGAAAAAAAAAACAAAGATACTCTTGTTTAATCAGTTCAGCTAATCCCAAGTATCTTCTAATAAAATGTCTATATTTTATAAATTACCAGCTAGTTGAAGGAAATATGTTTCTACTTTAGGAAACCTGAGGTATTAAGAGAGAGGATAGTAACATAGTGTCAGAAATAATATCACCAAGCAGTAGAAGAGCAGTCTTCACAATTATGTCTTTATATTCTCATGGAAAGAGTTATTCTGCAATATTATCTCTAAGATACTTAACATGTGTGTGGCTTAGATGATTTCTCCTTTAGCTTTATGTAGCAGGTAGTCTTACCTCCTGCATGGTTTCTGAAGACTGCCATAACCTTCCAAATCCATATTCCTGACTGAGTGTTGCCATGAAGTCTTCCTCAGCAGCAGGATTACATTTTAATATTAATACAACACTTGGTCTGTAAAATGAATCAGCAATCAGATAGCTGCCTAAGTGAATATGACTTTTTTTTTTTAATTGATTTCTTTTTTTTTTTTTTTTTTTTATCCTCACCCGAGGACATTTTTCCATTTTTTGTTCAGGCAGAGTGGGAGGGAGAGAGAGGAACAGAGAGAGAGAGAAACATCGATATGAAAGGAACACATCGACTGGCTGCCACCCACACGACCAACCAGGGCCGGGGACAAACTGCAACCGAGGTATGCGCCCTTAGCGGGAACCGAACCCGGGTCTCTCCGGACTGCAGGCCGACGCTCTAACCGCTGAGCCAAACTGGCCAGGGCTAAATTGATTTCTTAGAGAGGAAGGGAGAGAGAGATACAAACATTGATGTGAGAGAGAAACATCCATCAGCCAATCTCGCACGCCCCCCACTGGGGATTGAGCCCACAACCGGGGCATATGCCCTGACCAGGAATCAAACCGGGACCTCCCAGTCCACGGGACCACGCTCAGTACACCAAGCCACACCGCTTTGCAGCAACCACAAATCCTCTAATTGTTATTGAGTTTATTGACTATTAACTATCCTATACCTATCTATGTAAAAGAAATATGTGTCTATTATTTTACTTTTTATCCAATCCCAGAGCGCCCCTTTCCCTCCCAGTTTTGCTTTCTCCCGCCTTCCTAATCTATCATGTAACCCACTTATGTCTTTGCTTTTGATTGTAAGGTATAAAATAGGGGACAAAACTGCCATTCTCTGGAGCAATATCTCAATCCCTTGAGATTTTGCTTCCCAACAATTGTCAATGGTTTGGCTCAAATAAATTTACAAACATTTTTCATAGGTTAAAATGTTTCTTACATTGATACTAAAGACATAAAATCTTTTATCTGAGAGAACTGGCTTCTTTGTAATTACTGATTTTGGAAAACAAACAAAAATCACATTTCCTTTTTTCTAGGATTTTGAAAGTCAAAGTCCGTCACTTCAGCTTGCTCATGTGCTGGGTATTTGCCTGTTTATGGCGGGCACTAGAGGGGTGTGGTATCATACAAGTGCTGCATTCTGCAACCACACACACACTGGAAGCCCAAACACAGGGAAAATCTTTTCTCAAGGTTGAAATATGACAACTGTGGTTCCAAAAATTTACTGAGATTTGGTGTTTTACACAAAAATTCTCAATATAGGGCTTTGATCCCTTATAAGCAACAATAACAAAATCAAATAACTTGATTTACATAGCTTTATTGTTATTGTAAAAGGATATGTGCTTACTGATTTTTTTTTTTTTTTAATCCTCACCTGAGGATATTTTTCCATATTTTGTACAGACAGAGTGGGAGGGAGAGAGAGGAAGGGAGAGAGAGAGAGAAACATCGACGTGAAGGGACACATCGAGTGGCTGCCACCCGCACGACCAACCAGGGCCGGGGACAAACTGCAACCGAAGTACGTGCCCTTAGCGGGAACCGAACCCGGGTCTCTCCAGACCGCAGGCCGACGCTCTAACCGCTGAGCCAAACCGGCTAGGGCCTTACTGATTTTTTAAAAGAAAGTAAAAAACTATAGAAAACTATGAAGAAGAAAGTGAATAAAAGCTGAATCACATTACATACTCCCATGGTATGAAGGAGGATTCTTCAGACATCTCTATCTTTCCACATACGGAAATATGCATACAATTTTCAATACATGGAATAATACTGTACCTGCTGTTTCTGGACTAGTACTGTTGCAGATGAAGTAGTAGACATCATTCTGTGGCAGATGACTTGATTCTTGATAGGAAAGCCTACTGGTTACGAGTAGGGAGAGTCATAATAGTTCCTAGGTTTAAATTTCTTCTCTACTCACTATGTGATGTTGGGCAAGTAATTTAACCCTTCTCTATGTACCTCAGTTTCTTTATATACAAAATTACTTAATTGGAGAGTTGGCGTGAGGGTTAAATCAGATCACGTTTAAGTGTTTAAGACAGTACCTGGAACATAATGAGTACTTACTACATTTTAACTATTATTCTTATCTAAATACAAGTGTCAACTTTATGGTGACACTAAAGTTTTTTAAAAATATAAAAGTGGAGTTCTGGTCAATGTGGCTCAGAGAGGTCACTGGTTCGATTCCAGGTCGGAGCACATGACCAGGTTGCAGCTTTAATCCCCAGTAGGGGGCGTGCGAGAGGCAGCTAATCAATGTTAAAATCTCTGTCTCTTGCTCTTTCTTTAAAATCAATAAAAACACACAAAATATATATATATGAGTGGAATATTTTTTCAAATAACTTTCATCATGATTTTTCAAAAACCATTTTATTTATTGATTTATTTTTAGAGAGAAAGAAACATTGATTTGTTGTTCCACTTATTTGTGCATTCATTGTTTGATTCTTGTATGTGTCCTCAGCAGGAATCAAGCCCGAAACCTTGGATTATTAGGATGACACTCTAACCAACTGAGTTACCAGGTCAGGGCAAAATCCTTTTTTTCACATAAATTACTACTGCTTCTATCTGTAAACTATACTTTTTCCACTGATGCTGATAGTAACATGCAATAGATACTGTTTGTACTTACTGACTGATTTACCTGAGATTTTTTATTTTTTATTTTTGTGGTGGTGGGGTGGTGGTGGTGGGGGTGACAGGGGGGTGGGGAGTGTGGGGTGATGGGGGATGGGGAAGTGTGGGGGAGGGGTGGGGTGGAGGGGGTGGGGTAGGGTTGTGGTGGGTGATGGTGGGAGGGTTAGGTTTTTACCTGAGATTTTAACAGAAACAGGTTAACTACATTTTTGCGGGGAGGCCTGTTTAAGAAATGTTGAATACAATGTGCCTTTAAGTGAACACTATTTTACACGGTCCACCTTTATCAGACATGAGTCCAACTAAAAATCCCTATTAATTATTAAACCCCTATGTATTATCTAGATACCTGACACTGCAGATTGAGAACAGAGAGTGTTTGTCTCTCAAGCTAAGCCTAAACACTGGCGGAAAAATGTAGTTATCAAGAGGTTAAGAAACCTACAGCTTTTTCTCTGCTATTTAGTAGAGAGAGTAGGGTATTCTGTTTTGGCTGGTGTAGCTACAGCCTAAATCAGTTTAAACCTTGGTTGGGATCCCTGCTTGTTTTAGCATGGCGCAGATTGGAATTCACGGAATCGTCCTTTTGGTTTTTTCTCTGACAAAGTGTCTGGAAGGCACAAAACTGCTGGCGGACTTTAAAAAATGTGCTGACTTGGAATGTGAAAGTAAGTTTTCTTTTCTTTCCTTCTCTTCCTCTTAAGCGGAGGCTCTGAAATGACCTAAAAATGTTATTGTAGACCTGCATGATAAAAGTGAGCATTGATATCATTGAAAAAATATTTGCAATTATAAAGTATAGTTCAGTATAAAAAGGAAATGCTGGAGCAAAGCCTTTTGTGATAGCTTTTATTGTAAATATACAAGTGGGCAAAGATTAACCTGATATATAAATATATTAGAAATTATGACAATATTAATTCAGACCTCAAATAAATGAATCAGTACTTTTACTATTTTTAAGATAAATATAATTGATTTTCATTTTAAAAGATCTTAAGCTATTTGATGGGTAGTTCTTGATTTAAGAAGCCCTTGTGATGTTTAGTTTCTATTTCACAATCAGAACTTTCTGATTCTCATGAGTTTTATAAAAATGTTTTCATTTCAAATCATCAGGATTTACCATCTAAATTTTATCAACCAATAATTTGTGTTTACTTGTTATGTAAAAATATTGAAATCAGTGTTAGAAGTATATCATTTTATTTATATCCTTGAATATTAAACTATCTTCTACAAAGAAAAATTAATTTTATTTTATTGCTTAAGAGCTTAATTTATTCTGTTATTAGCATTCTGGTGCAAAATGAATTCCAGACAGTAAACTGGTGATCTAGTATAAAAAAAAAAAAAAAAAAGAATTCCATCCCAATATATCATAATTGCTTTAAATAAGTTCTATCTCTTCAGTATGTGAGAATTATTTCTGATTTGTAACATGTAAATTAAAAATGGAAAACACTATTAGTGTAAACAGACAATTTATAAGTAAATTTGTTTATGAATAAACATTTCCCTTAACTATTTGGATATGTAATTTAATATAAAGAGGTTTACTAGATGATGTTATATAATAGCAATAATCTTCCCCCCCCTTTTTTTAAGATTAAAATGACATTTTATAATGACAAAAAATGAAATTCACCAGGAAAATAAAGCATTCTAAATTTCTATGCTGTTAATCACATTGTCTCAAAATATACAGAATAACTAAAAGGAGAAATAGTCAAATCTACATTCATTGCTTGTTTAACACACTTCACTGTTTAACACACTTAGTACCTAATAGAATAGCCAAGCCAGGGAAAAAAAAGTATGGATATGAACAATTTGAACAAAATGATTTAAAAACATGATCTTAGGACATATAAATACACTGAATTCAACAATTACAGAATAGACATTCTTTTTTTTTTCTTTTCTTTTTTTTTTTTTTACCAGGAGTCTGGGGAGTCCAGCTGTCCATTGTTATTTATTTATTTATTTAGGTCTCTTTTTTAAAAATATAATTAATTTTTAAAATACAGATGTTCCTTCTTTTCCCCCCATTTGACACCCTCCTCCCCAATCCTACCTCCCCCTTTCTGTTTTTTAAACCTTATTTTAGTGTCCCTTGGGGCCAGACACAGAACATGAAATGGGAACATTAAAATTTATAATGTTATTTAGCCCTGGCCAGTTTGGCTCAGCGGTTAGAGCGTCGGCCTGCGGTCCGGAGAGACCCGGGTTCGGTTCCCGCTAAGGGCACGTACTTCGGTTGCAGTTTGTCCCCGGCCCTGGTTGGTCGTGCGGGTGGCAGCCACTCGATGTGTCCCTTCACGTCGATGTTTCTCTCTCTCTCTCCCTTCCTCTCTCTCCCTCCCACTCTATCTGTACAAAAAATGGAAAAATATCCTCGGGTGAGGATAAAAAAAAAAAAAATTTATAATGTTATTTTAACTTTAATTGCATGACTTAATTAAAATGTTTTACATGTTAGTATAATTATAATAGTTAATTTGGTAATATACATTACGTTTCGTGTTAAGTCTAGCATATATGGTTATGACCATTCATAGTTATTCATACTATGTGCTGGGTCTGGGTGGGGAGTTGTATCTAAGTGGAATTAAATTAAATGTAAGATAAGTTTCTTGACCTCCAGGAATTTTCATTCTAGTGAATAGTGACAAAACAAGTCAATATTAAACAAAAATACTGATACAACAAAAATATTAGGTAATATTGAAGTTCAGAGAAGGGGTAGAGTATGCAAGATCTAATAGGGATACGTCATAGAGAAAGTAGGCATGAGTTCACCATGAAAAAAAAACTTAAGGGTTTCTAAGTATTGAAATAGAGGAAAGAGAGGCTCAGGACTTGAAAGGTGGTTATTACAGTGAAAAGAACCTCCATGCAAATCTAACTCCACCATTTATCTTTTTTTTTAAAGAGATTTTTCTTTTTTCTTTTTTCCTTTATTGATTTTAGAGAGAGGAAGGGAAAGGGAGAGATAGAAACATTGATAAGAGAGAACATTGATTGGCCACCTCCTGCATGCCCCCCACTGGGGATTTGGCCCACAACCTGGGCATGTGCCCTGATCAGGAATCGAACCAGCAACCTCTTGGTGCATGGTTTGACGCTCAACCACTGAACCACACCTGCCAGGCTAGCTCCATTTATCAGACCAACTCTCTGAGACTTAAATTTCATTTATTAGACCGGGATGAGATTATTTACATCATAGTTCTGTTTTGAGGATTTAACAGAATAAAGATGTTAAAGAGCTTATCAAAGTGCCTTGAACATATAGATACCAGGAAAAACACTAATTATATTTTCTTTCGTTTCTCTATTCACTGGAGAATGATAATGGCATATTCGGAGGAGATTAACTGTAAAGGAATAAGAGGAAGTCACTTTAAATAAGAAAGGAAGACCAGGTTATGGGCAGCCTTTGATATTGAGCCAACGAGTTTTGAATTGATTCTGTGTGCAGTAGAAAGTCAAGTCTGTGTAGGTTTCTGAGGTCATAAATGATATGAAGAAATTAACATTTGGAAATAACAGAGGATGGATTGGTGGAGGGCAAGATGAGAGAGAGAGAGAAATGACATTTTAATCTAAACTGTGTTTTTCTTTACATGTCTACATAGCTTCAATATGCAGAGTCTTAGCCATGAGAGATTACAGAGGACCTGACTGCCTATATCTGAACTTCACTAAGGGAGAAGAAATATCTGTTTATGTTAAACTTGCAGGAGAAAGGGAAGATTTATGGGCAGGAAGTGTAAGTATCTAATCTTAAAAATTGAATGCGGGATAAATGGTCAGCTTTCACAAGGACGCCTGCTTTTCACTTCTAAATGAACTTTAAGGACTTGAAAGCACTTTATATATGTATCTATTAAAAACCCTTAACATATATAAAAATTTTAAAAATTTCTTTTCTGTATTGATTTTAGAAAGAGAGGGAGAGAGAGATAGAAACATTGATGAGAGAAAACATTGACTGGCTGCCTCCTGCATGCCCCCCACTGGGGATTGGGCCCACAACCTGGGCATGTGCTCTGACCGAGAATCGAACCAGCGACTTCTTGGTGCATGGGTCAACGCTTAACCAGTGAGCCACACTGGCCAGGCATATTAAAAAACTTTTTTTATTTATTGATTTTAGAGAGAGAGAAGAAGGGAGGGGCAAGAGAGAGAGAGAGAGAGAGAGACATTGATTGGTTTCCTCCCCCCATCCTCCTGCGTGACCCCGACCCGAGGTACCCTGGGGATCAAACCTGCAACCCAGGGATGTACCCTTGACCAGGAATCAAACCTGATACCCTTTGGTCCATAGGACAATGCTCTAGCCACTAAACCAAACTGTCCAGGGCTAGCATACACAGTTTTTTAATGTAAATTACATATTTACTTGGAGAGACTTCACAGGTGCCCACGGAGGTTATGGGATGACTAGGCAACCCCAGCCATCTCTTGGTGCTGCAAATGGCCAGGTTTAGGAGAAATTGGGAAATTTCAGTTAATCAGATTAAAATACTTATCATTATGAGCAAATAAAGAACTGAATTGTTATTGAAAATATTCTCAGATAGCCTAGAGAAACGTTTTCATGGGGGGGGGGGGGAGAATGGGATAGCCTTTTATTTGGCCCACAGTCCCATTACACTGAAATTCCTAGAAGCCAGAACCATCTCTCTGGTTGAAAAATTAATCATGTCAGTTGAAAATAGGTTTGTATCTTTGACTATATCATTATGCTTTATAATGAAAGGATGCTATGATTAGCAATTTTACTTTCAAGTTGAATAAGCATGACCAACCTGATACATACATCATTTCTATATGACATATGCATCAGATCCTTCCCTTGTGTGGCTTCTGTGATTACTATTTGAAGGATCAAATTCTGTTTGGATCTGTCCTGCTTTTTGGCATTAGGGTCTGTATGACTGAAACTCTGAACATCACTAGCCAGAACTGTTTGCCTGGCCTCTGCAAATCCCAATATTCCTTACCACTTATGGTCCCTTAAACATGCCAGTCTATATTTTGAAAGTATTGGAGGCACTCAATGCAGCTATAAAAAAAAAAAAAATGACATAGTAGGCATCATAGTAGAAAGGGAAGCATTCTTTCTTGTTTACTATGTGTGAAAATGATAGTTCTGCACAAAAGCAGTGTGCGATATGTGGAGCCAGGGTGAAGTTTCAAGCACACTTAGGTTTGTGCATTATGTGTTTCCTTCAGGCAAATAACTGTTGAAGGAACCACACTGTAGAGTTCACCCACAGGCTGTCAGTTTTCAAACAGTTGCAGCTACTGCCAAGCGGAAGAATCACAATGGAAGTGTAATAGTTCTGGATCAAATGAGGAAAAAAATATGGTCTTTAAACCTTAATAGAGAGAGGAAATGGGTTGAGAATGATTGTGTGAAGCCTTCAGTCTCAAGGGACATCCTACATGTGTGTCAGCTGGATTAGGAGGATCTCTGTTGCCAAGGTAGCCCCGGAAAAGTTACATGGAACCAAATTTTCCCTGGAGGACTCATAGATCTTTACTATCTTGATGAATCTCTCTTGGCCCTTCCGAGTTGAAATCTTTTACCTGATTTTGACATCCCGAAAATGCAGAATATGTCACAGCTTCATCTAGCGTGGTTGCTCCCACCATTCCCTAGCTGTTTGATATCCCGTTTGCTAGTGGTCCACCTGCACAGGAAGGGTCATTAAGGAACACAGAAAGGAAGAAAAGGAGTATATGGTGTGGTTTTCCCTCTGAAGTTTGAAAAAAAAAAAATGGCATTTTACAGCTTTGCTCTTGGTTCTCTCAAATTAATGCTGTTTCTTTTGAATAGCAAAAGGAATATGATTTCACTCACTTTCTTTTACATGGCAAATGAAAGCCAATTAATATTTGTGATTGGAAATTGTTGAAAGCCAAGGACACGGGGCAAAATTAAATTCAACAGTTATTATTGCTTTGATCACTCTTCCTTGCTAATCTTTGTTCTTCATTTTGGTAGAAAGGAAAGGATTTTGGATATTTTCCCAGGGATGCAGTCCAGATTGAAGAGGTGTTTATATCTGAGGAAATTCAAATACCAACTAAAGTGAGTAAATTCATTATGATTATTAATTGAATTTAAAATTTCTTGGCTAAAATAGTATTTTGAAGTATAAATGCCCATTGATTATGTATGTTTTATAGTGAACACATAAAATAATTGGTCTGAGAACTCATTTAAACAATAGTTTGATTATGTGAATAAAATTGGGTAAGACAGCGCTAGCCAGGTGGCTCAGTTGGTTGGAGCGTTGTCCCATACACTAGAAGCTGGAGGGTTTGGTTCCCAGTCAGGCACACACCCAGGTTTCGAGTGGGATCCCCAGTCAAGGCATGTACAGGAGGCAACTGATCAATGTTTCTCACTCACATCAATGTTTCTCTCTCTCTAAAAATCAATTAAAAAGAAAATAAAACATATCCTTGGGTGAGGATTAAAAAAAAATGGGTAAGAAAGTTATGACAGCCCTGGCCTGTTTGGCTCAGTGGTTAGAGTGTCGGCCTGTGATCCAGAGAGACCCGAGTTTGGTTCCCGCTAAGGGCACGTACCTCATTTGTCCCCGGTCCTGGTTGGGCCCTGTGGGAGGCAGCCACTCGATGTGTCCCTTTTATATCGATGTTTCTCTCTCTCTCTCTCTGAACAAAAAATGGAAAAATGTCCTTGGGTGAGGATTAAAAAAAAGAAAGTTATGACAGGCAAAGCTTTTGCTTTCTGAACAATTAACAGACAAGCTGTAGAGTATAGTGGTTAAGAGTACGGGTTCGAGAATGGACTGAGTTCAAAGCTTGACTCAGCCACTTAATAACTTTGTGGTCTTGTGGGCCTTACTTTTCTCATCTGTAAAATGAGGATGATGATTATAATATAGTGCTACCTCATACATTTAACAATATGTATATATGTGTGTATTTATTGACATTTTAGAGAGAGAGGAAGGGAGAGAGAGATAGAAACATCAATGAAAGAAACATCTATTGGCTGCCTCCTGCATCCCCCCTACTGGGGATCGAGCCCACAACCCAGGCATGTACCTTGACCTGGAATCGTACTGGGACCTCTCAGTCCATGGGGCAATGATCTCCACTGAGCCACACCAGCTAGGCTGCTATCTGATAAAATTATTGAGGAAAATGTAAGCATATGTAACATACATAGAATAGCACTATAGTGAGTGCTATGTAAGTGTTAGATATTATCACTAATGTTATTATCCTTTATGGACAAAATTTATTTCCCATCACACTCTTGTTAAGAAAAATAATATAAATGGAGCCACTTTAAAATGGAACTGTAGCTACCATCCCAGGGAAACTGCCTTGCATGTCTTATTGGAATATTGAAACAGGGCAAAATAACCTTTGGACTGGGCCAATGGCAACATTGTATCCCAAAGATAACAAGAGAGCAGATATTGTGACTACAGGACTAAAAACTAAAAACATTGTTTAGAATTAGCATCACCCTATTAGCTTATCTGCACCAATGAAAATGCCTTCCTTCCATTGATGTAATTGTTCCCCTTCCCCTTCTCATAAATACCACTTGCCTTTGTCTCCTAATATGAACACTATTAGAGTTTCTGTCCGAGCAAGTAATTCTTTTTTTAAATGAGATAAGTGTTTATTGTTTTAAGCTTTTATTTTTTATTTTTTTATCCTCACCTGAGAACATTTTTTGCATTTATCTCCAGATAGAGCAGAAGGGAGAGAGGGAAGAGAGAGAAAGAAACATCAATGTGATAGAACCACATCGACTGGTTGCCACCCACACAATCCCAACCGGGGCCGGGGACAACCTGCAACCAGGGTATGTGCCCTTAGCAAGAAGCAAACCCGGGTCTCTCTGGTTCACGGGTCAACGCTCTAACCGCTGAGCAAAACCAGCCAGGGCTGTTTTAAGCTTTTAAATTGTGGGGACAATTTGTTGTTCAGCAATAGAAAGACAAGTGATTCTTGAATAGCTATTTTTTAAATCTCAAATAAATGTTTGTTTCCTCTCACTTTGAAGGACCTTTTATTTTTAGCTTACCACTCTTTTTCATATCTGCACAACCTCTTTTTCTGTTGGAGTTTTTAAAAAGCTTGATAATGTTGGGCTTGATAATGAGAAAGGGAATCAGAAGGTGACTTTTCAATACATGAATGTTATTAGCCCATTTAATTCAGATTCCATGTTAAGCCAATTTACATTACAGGAGATCAGTGTGAAGTGAATTTGCCTGGTTAAGCAAACCGTCTATTATCTGGCCCTTGCCCAGCACAAATTCTGGGATTCACTGTCCATTTACTGTACAATTAATGGTCCTGTTAATTTTTTTATACTATGTTTCTTTCTTTCTTTTTTTTAAATTTATTTTTGTTACAGATGTTTCTTCTTTTTTCCCCCCATTGATACCCTCCTCCCCATCCTCCCCCACCCCATCCCTAGCATTATTGTCTAGGTCCATCAGTTACGCATACATGCATATAAATTCTGTGGTTTATCCCTTCCCTCCCACCCCCCTTCTGAGGATTGTCAGTCTGTACCCTACTTCCATGTCTCTGCATCTATTTTGTTCATCAGTTTGTTTAGTTCATTATATTCCAGAAATAAGTGAGATCATGTGATATTTGTCTTTCTCTGATTGGCTTGTTTCACTTAGGATAATACTTTCCAGGTCCCTCCATGTCATCTCAAAAGATTGATCCTGTTAATTCTGTCTCCAAAATACATCTGGAGTACGTTGTCTTCTCACTATTCTCACTCTCCCATATAGTCCTAATCCAAGGGTTCTCTTAATTAGAAGACAACAAAAGCCTTCTAACTGACCTCCTTTTCTCTAATTTTACCTTCTCCCTACCCATTATCCAAACAGCAAAGAATCTTATAAAAATGAAAACTTAAAAAAAAATCAGAGCATGTCTTTCTTTTTGTTTAAAGTCCTTTCTTTCATGACTTTTCACTGAACCCAGAATCAAGCCCTGACTCCTTACCCTGGTTCTACATGATCTCTTTTGCCCCCTTGCTGACCTTGTCTTATGTCACTGCTTGTCCTCACCGTGCTCCTGGCCACACTGGCCTCTGACAGTTCTTACCACACGCCGAGCTTTTCTCAGCCCAGAAATCCAAACAGGCCCTCTGGTTGGAATGTTTTCCACAAGATCTTTACTTGGCTCGTTCCTTCTTTCCCTTAGGTCACAGCTTAAACATTAGTGCCTCAGAGAGGATGGTTCTTATGGAATTACTGCTTCTTAATCAAGGCTTCCTTTCATTGCCTCCATAGCACTTATCACAATTTAAAATTACTTTATTCCCTATTGTTTACCATAGAACCCCAGCACCTAGCACAGCGCAGAGCATATAGCAAACATACTGAAGCCTCAGATTCTTAGGTCAAGTTTCCCGAGAAGTACACTCTGAGATGCACCTTTGCACCCAAGAGGTTTGTGGAGTTTTCTTGGGAGTGATAATAGCACCTGTGAGGGGACAAAAGAAAAGAGACGACTGGGCAGACAGAGAAGCTGAACTGTGATGCAGTTGCAACAAAGGTCTCAGTTGATTCTGATAAGGAGCTCTGAAGCTGGGAGGTCCTTTCAGAATTGTCCTGAATAGAGACAAGGGGTTGGACCTTTATACCCTTGCATTGCTGACTCACTTGGGGAAGTGTAACCTTGATCTAGGTTAGGCTAGTGTGCATCAGAGATAGTTAATATTCTAAGCACTTGATTCATTTAATCCTCAAAACACCCCTCTACAGTAGATACTGTTATTATTCTCATTTTACAGATGACAAAACTGAGGCATAGAAAGGTCATATAATTCACTCAAGGTCATAGAGCTAATAAATGGCAGAGTCAGGATTTGAACTCATAGGGTTTGGCTCCAGAGTCCATTCTTTATCACTATATTGCAGTGCCAAAAACATATTGTAAAGTTACAATTCTGAAGTCTATTTTTTAAAATTCTGAGCATCATTCTCATTTCATAATGGTGATATCCAAAGAACAGTGCATATCAATTAAATACCTTCAGATTAAAAAAAAAAAACTTTACCATTTTTCTTCTTTTTAAAAAATATGTTTTTAATTGATTTTAGAGACAGAAGGGTAGAAAGAGGGAGAGAGAAAGAGAGAAACTTTGATCTGCCTCCTGCATGCCCGGGGCATGTGCCCTAACTGGGAGTTGAACCAAAGACCTCTCAGTATATGGGAATACTCTCAACTAACTGAGCCACACTGGCCAAGGCTATCATATTTTTTAACATTTTATTTATTTATTTATTTTTAATTAATTAATTAATTTTTGTTACAGATGTTTCTCCTTTTCCCCCATTGATACTTTCTCCCCACCCCAACCCCATTCCCAGCCTTGTTGTCCATGTCCATCGTTCATGCATACATGCATACAAGTTCTGTGGTTCATCTCTCCCTCCCCCCAGCCCTTCTTCTGGGGATTGTCAGTCTGTACCCTACTTCCATGTCTCTGGGACTACCCTGTTCTTCAGACTGCTATGTTCATTATATTCCACAAATAAGTGAGATCATATGATACTTGTCTTTGTCTGTTTGGCTTATTTTACTTAGGATAATACTTTCCAGGTCCCTCCATGTCATTTCAAAGGATAAAAGCTATTTCTTTTTTACAGCTGCATAGTACTCCATTGTGTAAATGTACCACAGCTTTTTTATCTATTTGTCTACTGATCGACATTTGGGCTCTTTCCAGATCTTAGCAATTGTAAATAGTGCTGCTATGAACATGGGGGTACATATATTCTTTGTGATTGGTGTTTCAGGCTTCTTAGGGTATATTCTTAGAAGTAGGATCACTGGGTCAGATGGCAATTCAATTTTTAATTTTTTGAGGTAACACCATATTGTTTTCCATAGTGGCTGCACCAGTCTGCATTCCCACCAGCAGTGTACTAGAGTCCCCTTTTCTCCACACCCTCGCCAACACTTGTTGTTTGATAATTTGTGGATGGTGGCCATTCTGACAGGTGTGAGGTGATACCTCATTGTTGTTTTAATTTGCATCTCTCTGATGATTAGTGATGTTGAGCATTTCTTCATATGTCTCTTGGCCATTTGTATGTCCTGTTTGGAGAGGTGTCTGTTTCGTTCCTCTGCCCATTTTTCAATTGGGTTCTTTGTCTTCCTTTTGTTGAGTTGTATGAGCACTCTATATATTTTGTAGATTAACCCCTTATCTGATGTATCATTGGCAATGATGTTCTCCCATACAGTGGGTTGCCTTTCCATTTTGGTGGTTGTTTCTTTTGCTGTGCAGAAGAGTTTTAGTTTGATGTAGTCCCATGTTTATTTTCTCCTTTGTTTCTGTTGCCTTAGATGATGTATCAGTGAAAAGTCTGCTGCGTATGATGTCTGAAATTTTGTTGTCTACATTTTCTTCTAGGATTTTTATGGATTCATGGGTCACATTTAAGTCTTTTATCCATTTTGAGTTTATTCTTGTGCTTGTGTATGGTGTAAGTTGATGGTCTAGTTTCATTTTTTTTTGCAGGTAGCTGTCCAATTTTCCCAACACCATTTATTAAAGAGGCTGTCTTTACTCCAGTGTATGCTCTTGCCACCTTTGTCAAATATTAATTGAGCATATTGTCTTGGGTCCATTTCTGGGTTCTCTATTCTGTTCCATTGATCTATCTGCCTGTTCTTGTTTTGATTACAGTAGCTTTGTAGTATAAACTGAAATCTCGTAATGTGATCCCTCCAACTTTGTTCTTCTTTTTCAAGATTGCTGTGGCTATTTGGGGACTTTCCAAGGCTACCATTTTTCTTCTTGATGATTTGGTTGTTCTGTGAGATGAAAAAGTGTATCTTTACCTCTACTGGCTATATGAAATATCTAAAAAAAAGTAGTCTGAATGTCTTAGTGCAACTTTTATCTAGGCCTTTATACTTGAGAGCCTCTGGTCTGTCTAACTCGTCACCACGTGTTGTGAAATTCCCTTCCCTGAAATCACCACACTGCTGTTTGTGTCCATTCAGTGCCCTCTTAGGAGGAGCAAGATTTTATTTATATGTATGCCTTTCATCAGAGTTTATTTGCAGAGTATACACAAAGACTTATCTCTGCTTCTCAAATTCTTCAACCATTTGATAACAAATAATTCCTAATGTGAAATGATTTTCATATAAGTTTATATTATTAACCTGAAAAGTCAGTTGGGATACTATTGACAATGTCTGAAATGAGATCTGAGTTTAGTGTTTGCTCTGCTGTTGAGCTGGTTGTGCAGTCTTGGGAAAATCATAGTCATCCATTTTAAATGATTTAGGGAGAAACAAGGAGTTTTAGTATATTTATATCAATCATAATTTCTTTCCTTTTAGGAATCTGATTTTCTTTGTCTTCTTGGAGTAAGCTACACATTTGAAAATGAAGATAGCGAGTTAAACAGTGATGATGGTGAAAATATATACCCATATGAAGAAGATAACGATGAAAAATCTAGTGTAGATGACAATTATTTTCAGAGAGAATCTAGATTTTATTCAGCTTCCGAAAGTACTTGGTATGAAGACCAATTTCCAACATCAGAGACTCCTGATGATATCAGAAAAACTGGTGACTCAGAAAATGGGGAAGGAGTAGAAGCTGGAAGTGTGAAACCGGATCCTATTCCAGAAGTGGATTATGTCCCACCCTCCTCAGCTGTGCCCGAAGTGGAAGGATGGTTTGGATTTGGAAGGAAACAAGCAGAAGGGATGCCTTTTGAATCAGTATTTGAACAAGAAAGCTCATTTCAAAGTCGAAAAGTAGCAGTTGAAGATGAGAATGACCTAGAAGAATTAAATAATGGTGAGCTTCAAACAGAACATAAACAAGAACCTGAACCAGAATTCAGTTCAGTGCCAAAGAAACAGTTCGAAGCATCTGAGTCAGAACACAGTCTCAATCCTGAAGCTACTGGTTGGTTTGGCAGTGGATTTACCAGTTTTTTAGGTTTTGGAGGTGAGGATACAGGGCCTGAATTATTGCCCCAAGAAAGCAATCCAACACTACAAGATGTTCCTAATTCCATATCACCTGAGGAAGAACCCGCAGTTCCATGTACAGAAATATTATCAGAAAAAGAAGACATAATCACTAATAATGGCTCAAGTCTCAAACCAAATTGGTTTGATTTTGGTTTTAATATGCTAGGCTTTGCATATGCCAATGAAGATAAAATTATAACATATAATGGACAGAATGAAGAAGGAGGTAAAGGAGATAAACATGAACATCCTCCAACAAGTAAATTTGACCCTGATGAGGATCAAGAAATAAGAATTAAAAAAATTATGGAAATTGAAGATCATTCAGGAAAGGAAGGAGTCGTAGAGAAAACAGATGATTCTGATACCTTACCATATTTTAAAAACTTCTTGTATAATTTTGACAACCCTTGGAACTTTCAGAAGGAAACAGAATTGCCAGCTCCCAAAACAATACTGGATGAAAATAATGTGTTTGAAAATGAAGAAACAGAAGAATTTTTATTTGAAAATGATCCCACAGGTAATAGAAAAAGTATGATGTTAAAAAGCAGATACAGTCAGTCAAGTGGGTATAAAATACCATAATTTATTATTTAAACAAAATGTATATTTATTTACAAGTACAGATAAGATATGTACTTTTATAAGTACAAATGTCCAGTAATCCACATTCTCAAAATACTTAATAATCAATAATATCGATGTTTCTCTCTCTCGCTCTCTCTCCCCTCTTCCTCTTCCTCTCTTAAATCAATCATTACATAAAAATTGAAAAAATTTTCAGAAAACCTTTAAGTTTCAGGAAAAAGATGTTATACGATACAAAGTGGATTATTCAAAAATATTACAATATTAATTAAATGAAAACCAGCCTGGTGTCATGCAAAATTGTTTTTAAAAAAGAATACTAAAAGAGGGATTCAGATAAAGCCAAAGGCCCTATTTTCTGGATATTGGAGAAATTGCTAAAACAGCCAATATTTTCAGATAATTTCAACAAATCTCTTAGGGAATAACAAATGAAAACTTGCCTTAGAGAGAGTGTATAAAAAAAATTAATCACAGATCTTGAATCAATATCTGTGAAAGGCTGAGACTTGAGATAACCATATTTACCGAAAAACTAATAAGCTGATAATAAAAATTTGCAAAACAGATAAATTAGGGAGCAGTTATTTAGAAACTACTTTACAAAAGGATTCCAACTGAAAGTATTTAAATAATGAATTTCCCAAGTACAGTTCAATATGAAAAATTATTCATTATTTTGTTTGATTTAAAATGTAATTTATAAACAAATGTAAGAAAGGCACATCTGTAACTAATATAAATCATAAAGCATAGGTTTAAGTCTAGTGAAATTAATACCTTACTGTAATTAAATATAAAAATATTATAGGATAGTCCTGGCTGGTGTGGCTCAGTTGGTTGAGCGTTGTCCCTTGCACCAAGAGGTCACCAGTTTGATTCCCGGTCAGAGCACATGCCTAGGTTGCAGCAGATAGAATGCAGGAGGCAGCTGATCCATGCTTCTCTCTCCCTCTCACTCTCCCTTTCTTTCTTTCTAAAAAAATAAATAAATAAAAACATATTTTTTAAAAAGCACTATCAGTAATTAAAAGATACTATAGGATATGCATTTTCTTAACATATTTCAAGTGCAGTTCATTTATTTATTTATTTTTATCCTTACCTGAGGACATTTTTGCATTTATCTTCAGATAGAGCGGGAGGCAGAGGGGGGGAAGAGAGAGAGAAACATTGATGTGAGAGAGACACATCAAGTGGTTGCCACCAACACAACCCCAACTGGGGCAGGGACAAACTGCAACCAAGGTACATGCCCCTAGCAGGAACCAAACCCAGGACTCTCAGGTCCACAGGTCGACATTCTAACCACTGAGCAAAACCAGCCAAGGCTCAAATGCAATTTAAAAGATTATTTTAAAAATATTAGTATATCGCCCAGCTGGTGTGGCTTAGTGGTTGAGCGTCCATCTGTTCACCAAGAGTTCGCCGGTTTGATTCCTGGTCAGGGCACATGCTCAGGTTGTGGGCCCAATCCCCAGTGGGGGTCATGCAGGAGGCAGTCAGTTGTTTTTTTCTCTCATTGATGTTTCTATCTCTCTCTCTCTCCCTTCCTCTCTCTCTCAAAATCAATACAGAAAAAAATAAATTTGAGTGTAATTAATTATTGAATAAGCCCTTTTCCCCCTAGTGCCATTAAAGGGCACAGTAGATTGCTATTTGAGTCCTGTTCTTACCACAGTCCCATTGTATTCAATCTCCTAATTTGATTACTCGTTTTTAACTTTAATGTCCACAGAGACATAATGAAATTACTGATAAGCGTTTGTTTACTTGGGACTTTCATCTTTTAAACAATGCTAAGTGACAACATCAAAGTGCTGTGTTAAATTACAACTCAAAGAGCAAAATTAGACATTGAGCAACTCACTCACAAGGCTTTAATATTGTTTTTCAGGACTGCATTGATATATTTCTCTCCTGTTAACAAGTAACTGAGAAGTAAATCACAGTGTTTACTTGGATATCATACTTCAGGCTACAACTAGTTAGAACTTTTTTTCCTTTAATTCTGTTTGGTCAGTTAATTCAATCAAGCAATGAATTTAAACTATGCTTGAAAATTGAATTGCCTTAAAATAAATTGATGGCTATTTGACATGGCATATACATAAGTATATGATGCAACATTAAACACATGGCACATTTTGACATATTTCAAATTTTAAATTAATTTTTGGGAAAGGTAGTCCTTTTTAAACAAAGCTTCTCAAAAGATGTGCATACATATTTTCATTCAAATTTGAACTTAGGCATATTATCATTTAAAGGTATAAATCATTTAAATATTTAATATTAAAAACCAGAAAAATCAGGAATATTTTATTTAAACTTGTGTCAGCCTTATTTATTGAAATGCAAAATACTTTCTCTAATAAAAATATTGTCAGTTGGATAATATGCATTTTTATCTGACAATATGGATTTATCAGACTTCTGTAAAACGCAGTGACAAGATTTATAATTTCTTGAGTTCCATTTAAAAATTTATGATATTCTCATCTTACTGAAGCAGTATGTGAATTTCATGAGACCACCAAATTAATTAAATATCAACCTCATGTGAAGTTTTGCCTTGCCAGACACATTCACATCATATTAATGAAATTCAAAATATAATTTATTGATTTTAACTTCATTTTTTAGCACGGCTTTATGCTGTCATTGAGTATGAGAGAGAAAATAAGCACATGCCTGTGTATACTCATGGCAGCATGTATTTTAGAAACTAAAATGAGAATATCTTGTAGTTTTTTTTTTCTTTTTAAAAATTTGTTATTTGTTATTTGTTTTTGTTACAGATGTTTCTCATTTTCCCCCCATTGACACCCTCCTCCCCTTCCCCCTCACCCCATCCCCAGCTTTGTTATCTATGTTCATTGGTCATGCATACATGCATGTAAGTTCTGTGGTTTGTCTTTCCCCCCACAAAACCCCCCTCCTCTGAGGCTTGTCAGCCTGTACCCCACCTCCATGTCTCTGGGTTAATTTTGTTCAGCAGTTTGTTTAGTTCATTATATTCCACAAATAAGTGAGATCATGTGATATTTGTCTTTCTCTGCTTGGTTTGTTTCGCTTAGCATAATACTCTCCACATCCTTCCATGCCATCTCAAAGGATAAGAGATCTTTCTTTCTTACAGCTGCATAGTATTCCATTGTGTATATGTACCACAGCCTTTTAATCCACTCGTCTACTGATGGATACTTGGGTTGTTTCCAGATCTTAGCTATTGCAAATACTGCTGCTATGAACATGGGGGTACATATATTCTTTCTGATTGGTGTTTCAGGTTTCTTAGGGTATATTCCTAGAAGTGGGATCACTGAGTCAAATGGCAGTTCAATTTTTCACTGTTGTTTTTTTTTAATCCTCACTCGAAGGACATTTTTCCATTTCTTTTGTTCAGATAGAGTGGGAGGGAGAGAGAGGAAGAGAGAAAGAGAGAAACATCGACGTGAAAGGGACACATCGAGTGGCTGCCATCCACACGACCCAACCAGGGCCGGGGACAAACTGCAACTGAAGTACATGCCCCTAGCGGGAACTGAACCCAGAACTCTCGGGACCACAGGCCAATGCTCTAACCGGTGAGCCAAACTGGCCAGGGCCGATTTTTAACTTTTTGAGGTAACACCATAGTGTTTTCTACAGTGGCTGCAACAGTCTGCATTCCCACCAGCAGTGTACTAGAGGCCCCTTTTTTCCACACCCTCGCCAACACTTGTTTGATGATTTGTTGATGGCGGCCATTCTGACAGGTGTGAGGTGATACCTCATTGTTGTTTTAATTTGCATCTCTCTGATGATTAGTGATGTTGAGCATTTCTTCATATGTCTCTTGGCCATTTGTATGTCCTTTTTGGAGACGTGTCTGTTTAGGTCCTCTGCCCATTTTTTAATTGGGTTCTTTGTCTTCCTTTTGTTGAGTTGTATGAGTACTCTATATATATTGGAAATTAACCCCTTATGTGATGCATCATTGGAGATGATGGTCTCCCATATAGTGGGATCCCTTTCTTTTTTGATGGTTGTTTCTTTTGCTGTGCAGAAGCTTTTTAGTTTGATGTAGTCCCATGTGTTCATTTTGTCCTTTGTTTCTGTTGCCTTAGGTGTTGTATCAGTGAAAATTCTGCTGCACATGATGTCCAAAATTTTGTTGCCTACATTTTCTTCTAGGATTTTTATGGATTCATTAGTTACATTGAAGTCTTTTATCCATTTTGAGTTTATTCTCGTGTATGGTATAAATTGGTGTTCTAGCTTCATTTTTTTGCAGGTAGCTGTCCAGTTTTCCCAACACTATTTATTGAAGAGACTATCTTGACTCCACTGTATGTTTTTGCCACCTTTGTCAAATTGAGCATATTGTCTTCAGTCAATTTCTTTTGTAGTTATTTTTATATTCTATTTATAATATCAGTATTTTTCTCTATTGAACAACATAAACATACAAAATACTGTTTTAATGCTGTCAATATTTTCTTGATAATTTTTAAAATAAATGGGTAATTCCTAACTTAAACAATGACATCAAGAATATATTTTGGATGTATGTTGTCTATATTTGTTTTACACAACACACTTCAATAACATACTTTAAAATATAAAAAAACATCCTATAAGTGCTAACCAGTAAAGATTGCTCTCAATAATCTTCCTCCAAAATGTTTATTTGATATAAAAGATATATTTGATTTGGGAATTTAAAAAGCCTGCCCTGGCTGGTTTGGCTCAGCGGTTAGAGCGTCGGCCTGCGGTCCTGAGAGACCCGGGTTCGGTTCCCGCTAAGGGCGCGTACCTTGGTTGCAGTTTGTCCCCGGCCCTGGTCTGTCGTGCGGGTGGCAGCTACTCGATGTGTTCCTTTCACGTCGATGTTTCTCTCTCTCTCTCTCTGTTCCTCTCTCTCCCTCCCACTCTACCTGAACAAAAAATGAAAAAATGTCCTCGGGTGAGGATAAAAAAAAAAAAAAAAAAAGATATATTTGATTTGGGAATTTAAAAAGCCTGCCCTGGCCGGTTTGGCTCAGTGGTTAGATCATCGTCCTGCGGTCCAGAGAGACCCAGGTTCGGTTCCCGCTAAGGGCATGTACCTCAGTTGCAGTTTGTCCCCGGCTTTTATATTTAATAGTACATATTAGCAATATATTATAGATTTGCATGATCCAAATGGACTAGATTTCAGAACTTGGACATTAATTGCTGTAAGTTCTAATATTACCTTTCTTTACTTAACTAGCTCAGTTTCTTCTATGTATTAAATAAAATTAACTGTTAATGTCAAGTAAACTACAGATATTGTAAATAATGGGTCATTTTGACTCTGGTTCTCTAACAAATAAGGTAAAAAATGATATCACCAATTTTCTTAAATGATGGGGATATATATTTTTACAATGGCATTTAAATATTACATCTACTTGGATAATAAATGTATCTAAGAATAAAATCCTATAGAGACCTATTTAGTGTTTTATTCTTAGTTATAAGTTTATACTGTAACAGAGTTATTGACAGTTATGCTAGTTGTTTTTTCTTTTTAAATAGTTTTTAGGACAAAAAGGCAATGTAGAGAATAGATGGCTTGTTTCGCTCAGGATAATACTCGCCAGGTCCCTCCATGTCGTTTCAAAGGATAAGAGATCTTTCTTTCTTACAGCTGCATAGTATTCCATTGTGTATATGTACCACAGCTTTTCCCCCCACTCATCTATTGATGGACACTTAGGCTGTTTCCAGATCTTAGCAATTATAAATAGTGATTCTGTGAACATAAGGGTATATATATTCTTTCTGACTGGTGTTTCAGGCTTCTTAGGGTATATTCCTAGAAGTGGGATCACTGGGTCAAATGGAAGTTCAATTTTTAACTTTTTGAGGTAACATCATTGTGTTTTCCATAGTGGCCGCACCAGTCTGCATTCCCACCAACAGTGTACTAGGGTCCCCTTTTCTCCACACCATCGCCAGCACTTGCTGTTTAATGATTTGTTGATGGCAGCCATTCTGGTAGGTGTGAGGTGATACTTCATAGTTGTTTTAATTTGCATCTTTCTGATGATTGGTGACATTGAGCATTCTTTCATATGTCTTTTAGCCATTTGTATGTCCTCTTTGGAGAGGTGTCTCTTTAGGTCCTCTGAGAAGATTTCTTATAGGAGGAAAGCAAGGATCAGATTGAGAGATTAGAAGATGCTGCACTGCTGGCTATGAAGTAGAAAGATGGGGCCATGAGCCAAGGGATGAGGGTGGCCCCCATAAGGTGGAAAAGACAAAAATGGTTTATCCTCTAGAGCCTCAGGAAGGAACACAGCCCTCTCAACACCTTGATTTTAGGACTTCTGATCTTTATACCTTTAAGAGAATACATTTTTGTTTAAGCCAGTAAGTGTGTGATAGGGACTAATTAACACAGGCTACAATTTATGTTTTAGAGAATTTTTTCATAATGAAGTATGACAATGATCCCAAAGGTCCTTGAAAACAAAAGGGAGCCCCAAACAAAGCAAGTATTAAAAAAGAAAAAATTCTCATTTATTTGCAGATATAATCTCTCAAATAGAGTTACCTAGAATTCATGAAGATTTATACTTTGAAATGCTATATGAAAATGAGGATGAAGAATTAAGAACGTCACTAGATACTGAAGGGTCTACTCATGAGGAAATAGACACTTCTGTGGAAAATACCCTGCCAAATGCTCCGATGTTTTCAACTGATTTCTCTTTGTCTTCTCAAAATTACATTGCTCAAAAAGGTAAGAAAGAAGTTATTTGTTTTTTAATGCAGCAATTAAGGAAGAGATTAGACTTAGAAGTTACATCATATAAAGTACTTATTTTTATTTAAAAATCCACAGAAGATGCTTCTGAGGGTCACATTCTGAAATTTTTATTTCAAACTGATGTTTATGATTGCATGAATGCTGCATTTGCACCAATCGGAATTCTTATAGAAAGGGTAAGTTGACGTTTTAAGTCTTTTGCAATAATTTTCCCTATTTTGCTAAATATAGGAGCAGCTGAAATTCTGTTTGAGTGAATCTTTTTTATGTAAGTGCTATATAACATTTCTCTTTTCATAAAGTGTTACTGGTAAGGTTGATCCTCACATGAACACTATGTTGCATGAATATTGTTCAGGATTTCCTTTCCTTGTGTGTGGGTGGAGGGGAGTTGATGGGGTTGTGTTTTTATTTTTATTTATTTATTTAATTTTATTTTATTTTTAATTTTATTTTTTTACGGATATTTCTCCTTTTTTTACCCCATTGACACCCCCCCCCCCCATTGCCCCCACCTCTTCCCCGGCTTTGTTGTCCATGTCCATTGGTTATGCATACATGCATATAAGTTCTGTGGTTTATCTCTTTCCCCCCCCCACCACCACCTCTTCTGAATGTTGTCAGTCTGTACCCTACTTCCATATTTCTGGTTCTACCCTATTTCTCAGACTGTTATGTTCATTATATTCCATAAATAAGTGAGATCATGCGGTATTAGTCTTTTCCTGCTTGGCTTGTTTCACGTAGGACAATACTTTCCAGGTCCAACCATGTCGTCTCAAAGGATAAGAGTTCTTTCTTACAGCTGCATAGTACTCCATTGTATATATGTACCACAGCTTTTTTATCCATTCATCTACTGATAGACACTTGGGCTGTTTCTAGATCTTAGGTATTGTAAAGAGTGATGCTCTGAACATGGGGGTACATATATTCTTTCTGATTGGTGTTTCAGGTTTCTTAGGGTTTATTCCTAGAAGTAGGATCACTGGGTCAAATGGAAGTTCAATTTAATTTTTTGAGGTAACACCATATTGTTTTGCATAATGGCTGCACCAGTCTGCATTCCCACCAGCACTGTACTAGAGTCCCCTTTTCTCCACACCCTTGCCAACACTTGTTGTTTGATGATTTGTTGATGGCAGCCATGCTGACAGGTGTGGGGTGATACCTCATAGTTTTAATTTGCATCTCTCTGATGATTAGTGATGATGAGCATTTCTTCATATGTCTCTTGGCCATTTGTATGTCCTGTTTGGAGAGGTATCTAGTTCCTCTGCCCATTTTTAAATTGGGTTCTTTGTCTTCCTTTCGTTGAGTTGTATGAGTACTCTATATATATTGGAAATTAACCCCTTATCTGATATATCATTGGCAATGATGCTCTCCCATACAGTGGGTAGCCTTTCCGTTTTGATGATCGTATCTTTCACTGTGCAGAAGCTTTTGAGTTTGATGTAGTCCCATGTGTTCATTTTCTCCTTTGTTTCTATTGTCTTAGGTGATGCATCAGTGAAAATTCTGCTACGTATGATGTCTGAAATTTTGTTGCCTACATTTTCTTCTAGGATTTTTATGGATTTATGGGTCACATTTAAGTCTTTTATCCATTTTGAGTTTATTTTTGTGTATGGTGTAAGTTGATGGTCTAGTTTCATTTTTTTGCATGTAGCTGTCCCATTTTCCCAACACCATTTATTAAAGAGGCTGTCTTTACTCCAGTGTATGCTCTTGCCACCTTTGTCAAATATTAATTGAGCATATTGCCTTGGGTCCATTTCTGGGTTCTCTATTCTCTACCACTGGTTTATATGCCTGTTCTTGTACCAGTACCAGGATGTTTTGATTACAGTAGCTTTGTAGTATAACCTGTATCTGGTATTGTGACCCCACCCACTTTGTATTTCTTTTTCAAGATTGCTGTGGCTATTCGAGGTCTTTTTTGGTTACATATGAACTTTTGAAATATTTTTTCTAGTTCTGTGAAATATTTCATTGGTATTTTGATGGGGTTTGCATTGAATCTATAGATTGCTTTGGGTAATATGAACATTTTAATGATGTTAATTCTCCAATCCATGAACAAGGTATGTGCTTCCACTTTTTTTATATGTTCCTCTATTTCTTTTTTCAATGTCCTGTAGTTTTCTGCAAATAGGTCCTTTACTATTTTGGTTAAGTTTATTTCTAGGTATGTTAGTTTTTTTTTGCCACGATGATAAATGGGATTGGTTTTTCAGTTTCTCTTTCTGTGAGTTCATCATTGGTGTATAAGAATGGTGTCAATTTATTGATGTTAATTTTGTATCCTGCTACTTTGGCAAATTCATTTATTAAGTCTAGTAGATTTTTGATGGAGTCTTTAGGGTTTTCTATGTATAATATTATGTCATCTGTAAATAATGACAGTTTCTCTTCTTTCTTTCCATTTTGGTCCCTGTTATTTTTTCTTCCTGTCTGATTGCTGTGGCTAAGACTTCCAGTACAATGTTAAATAAGAGTGGAGAAAGTGGGCATCCCTGTCTTGTTCCTGTTCTTAAGGGAAATGCTTTTAGTTTCTGCCCATTGAGTATGATGTTGGCTGTAGGTCTTTCATATATGGCCTTTATTATGTCGAGATGTGATCCCTTTATTCCCACATTGCTGAGTGTTTTTATTAGGAATGGGTGCTGGATTTTGTTGAATGCTTTTTCAGAATCTATTGATATGATCATGTGGTTTTTATTCTTCATTTTGTTAATATGGTGTATCACATTCATTGATTTGCAAAAATTGTACCAGCCTTGCGTCCCTGGAATGAATCCCACTTGGTCATGGTGAATAATTTTTTTGATGTATTGCTGGATGATTTGCTAGTATTTTGTTCAGGATTTTGGCATCTATGTTCGTCAGGAATATTGGCCTATAGTTTTCTTTCTTTGTAGTGTCTTTTTCTGGTTTTGGAATTAGAATTATGCCGGCCTTATTAAACGAGTTTGGAAGTCTTCCTTCTTCTTGAATTTTTTGAAATAGTTTGAGGAGAATGGGTGTTCGTTGTTTTTTGAATGTTCGGTAAAAGTCCCCCGTGAAGCCATCTGGGCCTGGGCTTTTGTTTGCTGGGAGAGACTTGATTACCTCTTCAATTTTTTTAATTGTTATTGTTCTGTTCAAATTTTCTATCTCTTCCCCATTCAGTTTTGGGAGACTGTGTTTCTAGAAATTTGTCCATTTCGGTTAGATTGTGTAATTTGTTGCCATATAATTATTCATAGTAGCTGTTAACGATCTTTTGTATTTCTGAGGTGTCGGTTGTTACTTTTCCTCTTTCATTTCTGATTTTGTGTATTTGGGTTTTCTCTCTTTGTTTCTTGGTGAGTCTAGCTAAGGGTCATAAATCTTGTTTATCTTTTCAAAAAACCAGCTCTTTGTTTCATTGATCCTTTGAATTGTTTTTTTGATCTCTATATCATTTATTTCTGCTCTGATCTTTACTATTTCCTTCCTTCTACTTGATCTGGGGTTTTCTTTCTGTTTGCTTTCTAATTCTTTAAGTTGTGAGGTTGGACAGTCAATTAGAAATTTTTCTTGATTCTTGAGGTAGGCCTGTAGTGCTATGAACTTCCCTCTCAGAACTGCTTTTGCTGCATCCCATAGATTTTGTGTTGTTGTGTGTTCATTTTCATTGGTTTCCAGGAAGTTTTTAATTTCTTCCTTGAGCCCTGGCCAGTTTGGCTCAGCGGTTAGAGCGTCGCCCTGCGGTCTGGAGAGACCCGGGTTCGGTTCCCGCTAAGGGCACGTACTTCGGTTGCAGTTTGTCCCCGGCCCTGGTTGGTTGTGCGGGTGGCAGCCGCTCGATGTGTCCCTTCACATCGATGTTTCTCTCTCTCTCCCTTCCTCTCTCTCCCTCCCACTCTATCTGTACAAAAAATGGAAAAATATCCTCGGGTGAGGATAAAAAAAAAAAAAAAAAAAAAAAAAAAAATTTCTTCCTTGATTTCCATGGTAACCCATTCATTGTATAATAATATGTTATTTAGCCTCCATGTGTTCAAATGTCTTTGCATGTTTTTGTTGCAATTGATTTCTTTTTTTAATTTTTTTTTTTTTTTTATCCTCACCCGAGGATATTTTTCCATTTTTTGTACAGATAGAGTGGGAGGGAGAGAGAGGAAGGGAGAGAGAGTGAGAAACATCGACGTGAAGGGACACATCGAGTGGCTGCCACCCGCACGACCAACCAGGGCCGGGGACAAACTGCAACCGAAGTACGTGCCCTTAGCGGGAACCGAACCCGGGTCTCTCCGGACCGCAGGCCAACGCTCTAACCGCTGAGCCAAACCGGCCAGGGCGCAATTGATTTCTTATTTCATGCCATTGTGATCTGAGAAAATGCTTGATATGATTTCAATCTTTTTGAACTTGTAGAGATTTAGTTTGTGTCCTATCACGTGGTCTGTCTTTGAGAATGGCCCATTTGCACTTGAGAAGAATGTGAATTCTGTAGTTTTGTGGTGTAATTCTCTGTAGATATCTATTAAATCCATTTGATCTAGCGCTTTGTTTAGTGTCTGTGTTTTCTTGTTAATTTTTTGTCTATAGGATCTATCCAGTGATGTCAGCAGGGTGTTGAAGTCCCCTGCTATGATTGTATTGCTGTCAATTTCTCCTTTGAAATCCTCCAGAAGATTTTTAATATATTTTGGTGCTTGTATATTGGGTGCATATATGTTTATCAAGGTTATATCTTCCTGTTGGATAGATCCTTTCAATATTATGTAGTGGCCTTCATTGTCTCTAGTTATGGGCTTCATTTTGAAATTTACTTTGTCAGATATAAGTATTGCTACCCTAGCTTGTTTTTGCTTTGTTTGCTTGAAAGGTTTTTTTTCCATCTCATCACTTTCAACTTATGTGAGTCTTTTGTTGTGAGGTGGGTTTTCTTGTAAACAACATATATGTGAGTCATGCTTTCTTATCCAGTCAGGTACTCTGTGTCTCTCTTTTTTTTTTTTTTTTTTTGTGGTACATGCCCCTAGCAGGAACCAAACCCGGGACTCTCTGGTTCACAGGCCAACGCTGAACCGCTGAGCCAAACTGGCCAGGGCACTGTGTCTTTTTATCGGAGCATTCAGTTCATTCGCATTTAAGGTGATAATTGATATGTACTTATTTATTGCTATTTTTGTTTAGTGTGGTTCTATTTTTCTTCCTATTCTACTAATTATAGCAGTTCTTTTAGCATATCTTGAAGTGCTGGTTTGGTGTTAATATATTCCCTTAGCCGTTTTTTTTTTTGTTTGTTTTGTTTTTTTGTTTTTGTTTTTGTCTGGAAAGCTCTTTATTTGACCTTCTATTTTGAATGACAGCCTTGCTGGATAGAGTAGTCTTGGATTCAGATCCTTGTTTTTCACGACCTTGATTACTTCATGCCATTCCCTTCTGGACTGTAGTGTTTCTTTTGAGAAGTCAGCTGAGAGCCTTATGGGGTTTCCTTTGTAGGTAGCTTGTTGCTTATCTCTTGCTGCTTTTATGATTCTCTCTTTGTCTTTAATTTTTAGCCTTTTGATTACTATGTGTCTTGGTGTGGGCCTGTTTGGGTTCTTCTTACTTGGGACTCTCTGTGCTTCTTGAACTTGAATGCCTTCTTCCTTCACCAAATTAGGGAAGTTTTCTGTCACTATTTCTTTAAATATATACTCTAACTCTTGCTCCTTTTCTTCTCCTTCGGCGACTCCTATGATGCAACTATTATTACGTTTCCAGTTGTCCCACAATTCTCTTCAGCTGTCTTCCTGTTTTTTAATTGCTTTTTCCTTTTGGTTTTCTGATTGGTTGATTTTTTCTACCCTGTCTTCTAATTCACTGATCCTGTGCTCAGCTTCCACCACTCTGCTATTTAGACCTTCTAATGTATTCTTTATTTCTGATATGTCATTCTTGATTTCTTCCCGGTGGTTTTTAATTTCCAATTGGTTGATTTTCAACATCTTTATGTTCTTACTCCTGCTATTGAGCTTCCTCAAGATCATGGCTCTGAATTCTAGCTCTGTTAACATGCCTAACTTCTCCACATTTATCTCATCTTTGGTAGAGGTCTCTTTGTTCTTTCATTTGGCTTTTGTTTCTGTGTGTCACCATTTTGGCTATCACAGTGGGCTTTGGAGACAGCCAAATTTTCAATTTGGGTGTTGGTGTTCTGCTGTTTGTGGCTCCATCTCCTGGGTTTGGGTGAGTGAGGGAGGACCCACGTTAAACACCACTGTCAAATTTTACTTTCCTGGTTAGAGTTGCTAGCCCAGGAATGGTACTGTTATCCTCTAGCTTTTTGCCTGGAGGCTATCAGTAGACGTACTTGAAGAGTTTTGGGTTGTCAGTTGAATGAAAAGCTCCCTCAGGTGCTCAGTGTAAGGGGATTTCCCAAGGGTGGGTCAGATGCTGGTTGTTAGTGAGCTTCAATTTACATTTCAATGACCCACCTGGGTGGGGTTGAATCTCCGTGGGAGGGACCGCTGCCTCTCCCCAGAGCCCTGGGATAAAGCAACTGCGTGGCTGCAACTCAGAAAAATCTCTGAGCACCCTCCACATCCCGAATGTCCCCACAGTTCCAGTCCAGTTTGCCCTCCCTCTGCCGGAGGCCAAGGTGAGTGGCTGTGGCTATTTTAGTTTCTGTCCCCTCTCTGTGCTGTGGAGCCCCTTGGGAGTTTAACTCGAGAGTGCTGCTCACAGCTAAGGCCGCTGCTGTCTGTGGGCTCCCAGCACCCCTCTTGCGCCTCTGCAATCCTACCAGGATCGAGTCAGTGTTCCTGCTTATATGATCTTTGCAAGCTTCTTTTCTGTTGCTTTTTCTCATCAATTTGTGTTTTAGTTGTAATTCCAGTTTGGTCCTGTGAGATGGTCTGTGTAGCTTCCATTCACTGCACTGCCATTTTTCTTGAATTCTGTTTTTAATTTTTTAAATTGAATGTATTGGGGTGACATTGATTAATACAATTATATAGGTTTCAGGTGTACAATTCTATAATACATCATCTGTATATTGTATTGTATGTTCACCACTGCAAGGTAAATCTCCCTTCATCACCATTTATCTCCCCTGTACCCTCAATTACCTCTCCCACCCCTTTCCTTTGGGTAATTACCATACTGGTGCCTGTGTCTATAAGGTTTTTTTTTTTCCTTAATCCATTTACTTTTTTACCCAACCTCCGACCCCTTCCTCTCTGACAGGTATCAGTCTATATCTGTATCTATGAGTCTGTTTCTATTTTGTTTGTTAGTTTATTTTGTTCATTAGATTCCACATACATATTCAGAAATTGATGGCATTTTATTTTTTAATTTTAATTTTAATTTTTTTATCCTCACCTGAGGACATTTTTTGATATTTTTTTCAGATAGAGTGGTAGGGAGAGAGAGAAAGAGAGAAACATCGATGTGAAAGGGACACATCATGTGGTTGCCACCCACACGACCCAACCAGGGCCGGGGACAAACTGCAACCGAGGTACATGCCCTTAGCGGGAACCGAACCCAGGTCTCTCCAGACTGCAGGCCAACGCTCTAACTGCTGAGTCAAACTGGCCAGGGCTGATGGTATTTTAATACCCTAATAATGAACTATCAGAAAGAGAAACTAAGAAAAATATGAAATGTTTCATGAATTTGCATGTCATCCATTCGCAGGGGCCATGCAAATCTTCTCTGTATCATTCCAATTTTAGTATACGTGCTGCCGAAATTAGGACTCATTTACTTTTTTTTTTTTTTATTTTATGAATTTTTATTTATTTGTTTGTTACAGATATTTTACCTTTTTACCCCATTGGCACCCCCCCAACCCACCCCACCTCCACCCTGTCCCCGGCTTAGTTGTCCATGTCCATTGGTCATGCATACATGCATATAAGTTCTGTGGTTTATCTCTTCCCATTCCCCCACCCCCCATCCCCTCTTCTGAGGGATGTCAGTCTGTGCCCTACTTCCATGTGTCTGGGTCTACTGTATTCCTCAGACTGTTATGTTCATTATATTCCGTATATAAGTGAGATCATGTGGTATTTGTCTTTTTCTGCTTGGCTTCTTTCACTTAGGATAATACTTTCCAGGTCCCTCCATGTCGTCTCAAAGGATAAGAGATCTTTCTTTCTTACCGCTGCATAGTACTCCATTGTGAATATGTACCACAGCTTTTTTATCCATTCGTCTACTGGTGGACACTTGGGCTGTTTCCAGATCTTAGCTATTGTAAATAGTGCTGCTATGAACATGGGGGTACATATATTCTTCCTGATTGGTGTTTCAGGCTTCTTAGGGTATATTCCTAGCAGTGGGATCACTGGGTCAAATGGAAGTTCAATTTTTAATTTTTTGAGGTAGCACCATATTGTTTTCCATAGCGGCTGCACCAGTCTGCATTCCCACCAGCAGTGTATTAGCGTCCCCTTTTCTCCACACCCTCGCCAACACTTGTTGTTTGATGATTTGTTGATGGCGGCCATTCTGCCAGGTGTGAGGTGATACCTCATTGTTGTTTTAATTTGCATCTCTCTGATGATTAGTGATGTTGAGCATTTCTTCATATGTCTCTTGGCCATTTGTATGTCCTGTTTGGAGAGGTGTCTATTCAGCTCCTCTGCCCATTTTTTAATTGGGTTCTTTGTCTTCCTTTTGTGGAGTTGTATGAGCACTCTATATATATTGGAAATTAACCCCTTATCTGATACATCATTGGCAATGATGTTCTCCCATACAGTGGGTTGCCTTTCCATTTTGATGATTGTTTCTTTTGCTGTGCAGAAGCTTTTTAGTTTGATGTAGTCCCATGTGTTCATTTTCCCCTTTATTTCTGTTGCCTTAGGTGATGTATCAGTGAAAATTCTGCTCCGTATGATGTCCGAAATTTTGTTGCCTACATTTTCTTCTAGAATTTTTATGGATTCACGGGTCACATTTAAGTCTTTTATCCATTTTGAGTTTATTTTTGTGTATGGTGTAAGTTGATGGTCTAGTTTCATTTTTTTGCATGTAGCTGTCCAATTTTCCCAACACCATTTATTAAAGAGGCTGTCTTTACTCCACTGTATGCTCTTGCCACCTTTATCAAATATTAATTGAGCGTATTGCCTTGGGTCCATTTCTGGGTTTTCAGTTCTGTTCCACTGGTCTATATGCCTGTTCTTGTGCCAGTACCAGGCTGTTTTGGTTACAGTCGCTTTGTAGTATAACCTGATACCTGGTATTGTGATCCCACCTACTTTGTTCTTCTTTTTCAAGATTGCTGTGGCTATTCGGGGTCTTTTTTGGTTCCATATGAACTTTTAAAGTATTTGTTCTAGTTCTATGAAATATTTCGTTGGTATTTTGATGGGGATTGCACTGAATCTATAGATTGCTTTGGGTAGTATGGACATTTTAATTATGTTAATTCTTCCAATCCATGAACAGGGTATGTGCTTCCACTTTTTTATATGTTCCTCTATTTCTTTTTTCAATGACCTGTAGTTTTCTGCAAATAGGTCCTTTACTTCTTTGGTTAAGTTTATTCCTAGGTATCGTAGTTTTTTTGGAGCGATCGTAAATGGGATTGTTTTTTCAGTTTCTCTTTCTCTGAGTTCATCATTGATGTACAAGAATGCCGTTGATTTCTTGACGTTAATTTTGTATCCTGCTACTTTGCCAAATTGATTTATTAAGTCTAATAGATTTTTGATGGAGTCTTTAGGGTTTTCTATGTACAATATCATGTCATCTGCAAATAATGACAGTTTCACTTCCTCCTTTCCAATTTGGATCCCTTTTATTTTTTCTTCATGTATTATTGCTGTGGCTAAGACTTCCAGTACAATGTTAAATAAGAGTGGAGAAAGTGGACATCCCTGTCTTGTTCCTGTTCTTAATGGAAATGTTTTTAGTTTCTGTCCATTGAGTATGATGTTGGCTGTAGGTCTTTCATATATGGCCTTTATTATGTCGAGATATGATCCCTCTATTCCTACATTGCTGAGCGTTTTTATCAGAAATGGATGCTGGATTTTGTCGAATGCTTTTTCAGCATCTATTGATATGATCATGTGGTTTTTATTCTTCATTTTGTTTATGTGGTGTATCACGTTTATTGATTTGCGAATATTGTACCAGCCTTGCATCCCTGGAATGAATCCCACTTGGTCATGGTGAATAATTTTTTTGATGTATTTCTGGATCCATTTTGCTAATATTTTGTTCAGGATTTTGGCGTCTATGTTCATCAGGGATATTGGCCTGTAGTTTTCTTTCTTCGTAGTGTCTTTTTCTGGTTTTGGAATTAGAATTATGCTGGCCTCATAGAACGTGTTTGGAATTTTTCCTTCTTCTTGAATTTTTTGAAATAGTTTGAGGAGAATGGGTGTTAGTCCTTTTTTGAATGTTCGGTAAAACTCCCCCGTGAAACCATCTGGGCCTGGGCTTTTGTTTGCTGGGAGAGTCTTGATTACCTCTTCAATTTCCTTAGTTGTTATTGGTCTGTTCAAGTTTTCTATCTCTTCCGGGAATAGTTTTGGGAGACTGTGTGTTTCTAGAAATTTGTCCATTTCGCTTAGATTGTCGAATTTGTTGCCATATAGTTGTTCATAGTAGTTGTTGACGATCTTTTGTATTTCCGTGGTGTTGGTTGTTACTTCTCCTCTTTCATTTCTGATTTTGTGTATTTGGGTTCTCTCTCTTTGTTTCTTGGTGAGTCTAGCTAAGGGTCCATCAATCTTGTTTATCTTTTCGAAAAACCAGCTCTTGGTTTCATTGATCCTTTGAATTGTTTTTTTGGTCTCTATGTCATTTATTTCTGCTCTGATCTTTACTATTTCCTTCCTTCTACTTGCTCTGGGGTTTTCTTTTTGTTTGCTTTCTAATTCTTTAAGTTGTGAGGTTAGATAGTCAATTAGAAATTTTTCTTGTTTTTTGAGGTAGGCCTGTAGTGCTATGAACTTCCCTCTCAGAATTGCTTTCACTGCATCCCATAGATTTTGTGTTGTTGTGTGTTCATTTTCATTGGTTTCCAGGAAGTTTTTAATTTCTTCCTTGATCTCCTCGGTGACTCATTCATTGTTTAATAACATGCTATTTAGCCTCCATGTGTTGAAATGTCTTTGCATGTTCTTGTTGCAATTGATTTCTAGTTTCATGCCATTGTGATCTGAGAAGATGCTTGATATGATTTCAATCTTCTTGAACTTGTAGAGATTTAGTTTGTGTCCTATCATGTGGTCTGTCTTTTAGAATGTCCCATTTGCACTTGAGAAGAATGTGAATTCTGTAGTTTTGTGGTGTAATTCTCTGTAGATATCTATTAAATCCATTTGATTTAGTGCTTCATTTAGAGCCTCTGTTTCCTTGCTAATTTTTTGCCTAGAGGATCTATCCAGTGCTGTCAACGGGGTGTTGAAGTCCCCTGCTATGATTGTATTGTTGTCAATTTCTCCTTGGAAGTCCTCCAGAAGATTTTTAATATATTTTGGTGCTCCTATATTGGGTGCATATATGTTTATCAAGGTTATATCTTCCTGTTGGATAGATCCTTTCAATATTATGTAGTAGCCGTCTTTGTCTCTAGTTATGGTCTTCATTTTGAAATCTATTTGATCAGATATGAGAATTGGTACCCCAGCTTTTTTTTGCTTTCCATTTGCTTGGAAAATTTTTTTCCATCCCTTCACTTTCAACCTATGTGAGTCTTTTGTTGAAAGATGGGTCTCTTGCAAACAACATATAGATGAGTCATGCTTTCTTATCCAATCAGCTACTCTGTGTCTCTTTATGGGAGCATTCAATCCATTTACGTTTAAGGTGATTATTGATATGTACTTATTTATTGCCATTTTTGTTTAGTGTGGTTCTATTTTTCTTCCCATTTCTACTGCTAATTACAGCAGTCCTTTTAACATTTCTTGCAGTGCTGGTTTGGTGCTAATGTATTCCCTTAGCCTTTTTTTGTCTGGGAAGCTCTTTATTTGATCTTCTATTTTGAATGATAGCCTTGCTGGGTAGAGTAGTCTTGGATTCAGATTCTTGTTTTTCGTGACTTTGATTACTTCATGCCATTCTCTTCTGGCCTGTAGTGTTTCTTGTGAGAAGTCAGCCGAGAGCCTTATGGGGTTCCCTTTGTAGGTAACCTGTTGCTTATCTCTTGCTGCTTTTAGGATTCTCTCTTTGTCTTTAATTTGTGGCATTTTAATTACTATGTGTCTTGGTGTGGGCCTGTTTGGGTTCTTCTTACTTGGGACTCTCTGTGCTTCTTGAACTTGAATGCCTTCTTCCTTCACCAAATTAGGGAAGTTTTCTCTCACTATTTTTTTGAATATATTCTCTATCCCTTGCTCATTTTCTTCTTCTTCAGGGACTCCTATGATGCGAATATTATTACGTTTCCAGTTGTCCCATAGTTCTCTTAAGCTGTCTTCCTGTTTTTTAATAGTTTTTTCCTTTTGTTTTTCTGATTGGTTGATTTTTTCTACCCTGTCTTCTAATTCACTGATCTGGTCCTCAGGTTCCCCTACTCTGCTTTTTAAACCTTCCAATGTGTTTTTCATTTCTGATATGTCATTTTTTATCTCTTCTTGTTGGTTTTTAATTTCCAATTGGCTTATTTTCAGTGTCTCTATGTCCTTACTCATGCTGTTCAGCTTCCTCAAGATCATGGCTCTGAATTCTAGCTCTGTTAACATGCCTAATTGCTCCACATTGATCTCATCTTCAGTGGAGGTGTCTTGCTCTT